GGGGGGTGCAGGGTCCTGGAGTGACACTGTTGGAAGGCCTCGTAAGGTCACCTGGTGAAACCCCTCCATGGTCACAGAAGGTGAGGATGACTTGTCAGTGTCATCCTCCTCACGGTCCAGCATAGTACTTTCTGATGGTATTGGGGCCTGGTCCCTGACTCCTGGAGTGCCCTCCAGCCCAAGGTCATGGAGATAACTAAATTTTTTACTTCTCAGACCTACAGAACCACAGAATGTCAGAGCCTCGATGTAAATTGGGGCCCAGGTTGAGGATGGGAGCTGGCCACAGGTGCACTAATTATGGGCCAGGACTCTGGGGTAGGTGTTTTCCCCACATCTCCTGCTCCCATGATGCTGAAGGCCAGCCTCTCCTCCTGGTAGGGAGGCTCGGGTGATGCCCCAAATCTCCCACAGGGTTTCTGCTGGGAATCCAGTGCCTTCTGTGAGTGCCCTTAACTGCCAGGGGTGGGAGATGCAGCCATGCAGCCACAGAGGGCCTGGCCTCTACACTCAAGGCCAAGCTCCAGCTCCTGGCAAGCAGGTGCTCTGGCTGGACAGCACTGATAAGGCCAAGCTAACTTCAACAGAGGCCCCTTGGGGGCTGAAGCGTAAGAAAAGGTTAAGGACTTTGCTGCCTTCTTGTGGCCACACCTGGATATGACTGCTGTCGTCCAGGCCTCTAGCTGCTCACCTTCTCCAAGCTATGGAAATCTCTCTCCCTTCCCCTCCTCCTGGAAAGCACTCCAGGAGGTCTGGATGGGGTGGGTGTCATCTCACTTCCCTATCACTTAGGCCAGAGCTTTGGCCACGCAAAGCAGATGGGAAGGGTGGACGATGCCTTGTTCAGTGTTGGATACTGAAGGAAGAAGACCTCAGGACGACAGGTAGGGCCCCCAGTCTGTGTTACTCAGGATGTTTGAGTGTGGGGAAAGACTCGGTGGTTTCCATGGAGACAGCTTAATCAACCAGCACCAGAGAGAATGGTTTGAAAATTTAGAGGATATTTATTTCTCGGGAAGGTCCACAACAGCTGGCAGCCACTGCTCTCCCCTATTCTAGGGGATTTCTCTCTCCTTTTCCAAGAAATCCCCTCTCTTCTTGGAAGTCCCCATGGGGAGGGGAGGATGTGAAGAGAAACCATACACAACACTCCAGAGCCTTAAAAAAATAAAGCAACAAACAACCTCCTCCACACAAACACACACATACAAAATAAATAGATGTATAAAAGAGAGGCTTTGCTCCTTGCAGCCTGGCTCAGGGCTGCTTGGGAGAGGGGCCTGGTGGCTTTACCCCACACCTCCCAGCCAGGATTATCTGGAGGGTAGATGGTACGGAAGTGCCTGACAGCCAAGAATAAGCCCTGGCTTCAGAGAGGGGACAGGGGCAGACCTCTCCCTGGAGCTCAGTGGGGATAAGGTACAAAGGAACAAATAAATAAATAAATAGAACCTAACTTGCTCCCAGAGGCCTAAGGGCTCAGGCTGCGGATCGGGGGCCTAGGGGCCTGTTTCCCTGAAAAGAGCAGATCCAGTGACGGGCAGAAAGAATAACAGGAAAAACCCAAACCCAAAGCCACACCCACTGGCCTCCAGAACCTGAATCCTTCGGCTCCCAGAAGATCCCAGCCAGAACCCAGCCTCAAGCCAGCTCTGGAGGCAGGAAGCTCTTTGGCCCAGCAGCCGGCCAAGGCTGGGGAGCGTCCCCCTCTCTTCGCTGCTCTCTCTGGGGCCAGCAGAGCCTCCCCTGGCGCTCGTCTTCTTCCCGACCATCTCCACAGGAGGGAGCGTGGCTGCCACCAGGGTGGGCTCTTCCCCGGGAAAGCGGACGCATGGCCCTCTCCTGCTCCTATTCTCATTGGCCTTCCAGACGGGCGGCACCCAAGTCAGCTGCGAGAAGTCCTTGTGTGACTGTAAATAATCAAAACAGTCCATCCCAGTGTCCTCCTCTGCTCCATTGGGACACCGATGTCCCCACTGCCTCCAGTCAGTGCTGCCTCAAGGCTCCCTTCAGGCCAACAGGGAGAAGGCGTTGGACAGAAGCAAGAACAGAGAAGGCGTAGGAACTGCTGGAATGGACAGTTTGGGCAGGAGGCCACACCGGACATATGAAGAAGTCCAAGGGAGTCTGGAGTCCCAAGGTCCCCGCGGAGACGCATGGCCAGCTGGGGGCCAAGGAGAGCATGGGGTAGGGACTGGCTGGCCACTCAGCTGGGCAGCAGCACGTGCTCCAGGAGGTAGGTGAGGGAGTCCCAGTGCTTCCAGAGGAGGAAGAGGACAAGGACCAGGAGGGCGGTGCTGGTGATGCGCAGGCGCGTCTTCATGAGGGGCGTGATGAAGTTGGCGATGGTGGACACGAACACCAGCAGCACGGCCATGAGCGCCAGGATCACGTTGATGAACTTGCCCAGCAGTGCCCGCGCGTTGGCATTCTCCACGCCCTCCAGCTGCACCACCTGCTGCTGCTGCTGCTGCAGCTCCAGCTTGGTGACCCGGGTCAGGCAGGACTCCACAGCCTCCTGTGGGGGTAGAGGGGTGGGCACATAAGAGGGGGACAATGCACAGGGGGCACCCCTCCAAAGGCCAGGCAGCTAGAGGCTGACCAGCTGCAGCTGGCGGCAGGTCCTTTCCTGATGCCTGTGTGGGGAGGCTCGTGGGAAACGGGAAGGGGAGGAGGGGGTCCAATCCCAGCTACCCCTTCAGGCACCGGAAGTTCCGGTTATTCACTGGCAAGGCTGCCGTCAGAGCTGCGGGCATGGGAGGCCCTCACCCGTCAGCTCGCCTTCGCGCAGATGCACACGCTCTGCCTCAGGCCCGACGCGCTCTTACCGGCATCCCACCTCACACCGCCCTTTTCATCCCTGTGCCCATCTGCCTCAGCCGACAGAACAGCCTGTGCCCATCGTCCCCCACCTGCTAAACCCTCACCCTCCGGCTGCCGCCAGCTCTATCAGCACGTCTGGGGCCTCCCCAAGGTCAGTCCCTGGTGGTACCTGGATGTCCCGAGCCCTCTCGTAGGACTGGTAGGCCACCTTCTCCTCCATGCTGGCCAGCTCCTGCTTCAGGTTGGTCATCTCGTTCTGGTGAAGCTCCGTCAGGTCGTTGAGCTGCTCCTCCAGCCGCTCGTACCTGGCAGAGGGAGGAGGTGTGACACCGGTGCCGGTTCCCGAGCCCTGCTGCTCTCCCCGCCCAGGGCCAATTCCATTCATGCTCAGCAGTAACTCAGCCCACCTCATGTGTTTCGCCCCAGCCCAATTTTAACAGTAGCGACCACAACGCAAGTACTATTTACGCAGAACTTATGTGCAGGCACTGTGCTGAGCATTTCACCCGCATTATCTCAACAGCATCATCGCTTATCCCCACGAGGTAAGCACTAGTGTCACCTCCGTTTTACAGATGAGAACACTGAGGCACAGAGAGATTAAGGAATTCGCCCTGAGCTAAGAGGCTCTCCTGGGTACCCGGCACACAGGGATATGGAGAACAATCCTGCTCTGAAGGCACAAATATTGAAAGATGACTATGAAGTGGGGGTGGCTGGTTTTCAGGCAGGGTTCCCCCTTAATTTTCCAAATCTTCTTCATACATATAAACAAGAAAACGTGCTAAGGAAAAGATCCCCCAGAGTCCCAGGGAGCAAGTGCCAAATGCCACACGAGAGGCACGGAGCAGAGGGGCAGGGCGGGAGCGGGAGGAAGGATCTCCAGCTCGATGAGCACCGGCCGTGCCAGGAATTTACACACTTTGACTTGACAGACGTGGCCTCATTTCATCCTCACAGACCCCATGCATGGAGATTTATGTGACGGGGTCGTCGGGAAAGTCATGACGCATCTTTTCATTGAAAACCATAGAAAAATACGTTATGGCTTTCCCGGCAACCCAATATTTCTGCCTCACAAGGGAACCAGGTGCAGAGGGTGATCATGACTTTGCTCAAGGTGAACAGTAAATGGTAGAGCTCAATTTGAACCCAGGTAACCTGGCTCCAGAGTCAGTGCTCTTAACCAGTCTCTCCAGAGGAGAGGCCATGTAGCTGGTCTCAGTTTCCCCTTCTGCACACTGACCACATAACCATCAAGTCGGGATGCTGAAGACAGGCACAGCCTTCCTTCGGTAGGTCCCATAATCCTATCTCCCAGCTGCTCTGAGCAGTCCGGAGGAAGGCTCCTCAGGACCTCTTCCTGGCCCCTTCCAGCAGCCCAGGACCCTTCTAGAAGCTCCTCTACCTGCCTCCACAACTCAGAGTCTGAAACCTGGTGCTTGTCACCTCATGATTGGGGTCACGGGGCAGCGGCGAGGGTGGAGGAGGCACCTACCTGTAGCGCTCCTCCTGCAGGCACTGGGTCATGTAGGTGTAGTCCCTTTGCAGCTGAGTCTTCAGGTCCTCCATTGAGTCCTCCAGGTGGGACTGTCCCTCCTTGATCTCCCGCAGCTCTTCCAGCAGAGCGTCCAGGTTTCCAGGGGCCCCATACAACGTGTTCGACTTGGGGCTCCCCAGCACCCCGGTGGGCCCTGCCCCGGAGTTGCTGCCCGCACCAGCCGAGCTGGCACTGGCACTGGAGCACTCGTCATCGCTGCCATACTTGGGGCTGGACACGAGTGTGGCGCTGCCACTCAGCGCCCGGGCCGCCTCCTCGGGGGGCCCGTCCTCCAGAGGGTCCTTCAGGTGGGCGATGTTGTCCGCGCTGCCAAACTTGTTGCGGATCAGGCTGGCGAACTCCCGGGGCTTGGACACCACAGCGGTGTGGGTGGCCTGCGAGAGGCCTGAGAGGCTGCCCTTGACGCCCTCTACCACGCCGCCCCCAAAGCCGCTGATGCCCGCGCGCACGTTGGCGCCCACGTCCTTCAGCCCCTGCTGCATGTCCCGGAGCACGTCCTTGGGCTGCCTGGACGGCCCGTTCTGCTCGATCTCGCGCAGGCGCCGGCGGTAGTGCTCCAGCTTCTTGTGTAGCTGGGCGATGGTCTGGGCGGACTTCTGGTTCTTCTTCTCGAACACTTGCTTGATGCGCGACACCTGCTGCTTGTCCGCGTTGTTGGCCAGCTTCAGGTACTCCGCCACGTTGTCATCCCGCGCCTCCTGCTCGATTTTGATCTGCTCCGTGATCTTGAGGATCTTCTGGTGCAGGTGGTCGATGGCGGCCTTGGTGCGGTGGGGGTCCGGGGCCCCGTCAGGCACGTCCAGGCTGATGGGGCCATCAATGTCCCCATGGCCGGGGCCACCGGGAAGGCTCAGGGCCACAAGGTCTCCCTTGTCCACCTGGGGAAGAAGGCAAGCAGAGGAAGTCTGGGTAAATCCGTGGAGACATGGGAGGGGCTGGCAGCAGTCCCTCATGTGCCCTGACACCTCTGGACCTGGAGTCTCTGCCTAGAAAACGAATGTGGATGAACAGGAAACTTCAGGGAAAGAGTCCAAGAGAACAACAATGACAACAGTATTCCCTTACAGCCGCCATTTATCTACCTGTTATCTGTTACCTAACTGACCCCCGCAACATCCCTGAAGCGCAGTCTAGGCAGATCTGTTCCTCCTTCAGGCCAGAGCGTTCAAACAAGTTGCTCAGGGCCACACAGCTATGAAGACAGAACTCTTGTTGCTCCATCACATGACCCAAGCAGGTCTGAGGCTTCACTGAAGAGTCAGAGGCTTGGTTTCTCAGGGATGAGACCAACTGTCCCTCTGGACCCAACCTCCCCATAAGGCTCCTGCCTTGAGGAGGCCTCTCCCTCAGAGCTGACCGCAGCCTACACGTTGGACCCAGTGCAGGCACAGGAAGCCTCCCTGCCCTCCCTGCCCCGTCTTCTCTAATGCAGTTCGGTGGGTCACCACCCCCGTCCCTGCTGACGCCCCTCCTGGCCTGTTACCTTCCAGTTCTCTGGAGTTGTCAGCAATCTCTTCCGCTTCATGATGGTGGGAGCACCCAGCCCTGCCCTGTCTCCCAGAACCAGGAGAAGAGTACACCCCCCGACCCGTCCTGTTGGCCAGGTCCCCAAAAACTCGAGTCCCAGAAGTAACCCACAGGCCAAGGGAAGCAGGGAGCAGTCCGGGAGCCCAAGGGTACTAACTGCCCAGCTGGGAAGGGGGTGGATGTGCAAGAAGGAGACGACAGCCCCTCTTCCTCAACAGCAGACGGGCAGGCTTCCCCAGGGCATCGAGGTGGCACAAAGAAACGTGAGAGACTGAGAAAGGATGGGGGGGGGCAGGGAGAGAAAGGAAGGAAAGGTTACAGAAGTTAGGAAAGATGGAGAAAACAGGTCAGATGGCAGCGGGTGGGCCTGGGGCCCCCTCTCCCAGGGCCAGCTCCCCCTCGGCCTGTTGGAAGATCTCTTTCCACAGCCGAGCCCCCAGTGTCTTATCGCCATGCCACAGCGGAAGCAGCAGGAAATGGCTCAACCCCATGTATTTTTACACAGAGCACACCCCGGTAGGGCTGGCTCAGATCATCACGCTTTATATGTAGGGTAGGGGCAGAGGCGGGGTGAGGTGTATGTGGGGGAAGGGGTTAAACACAACGACAGTTGTCCAGTCACGAGCACCAGAACTGGAAACAGCCCGTGCCAATTACAGGCAGAAGTCACCAGGCTTGATGTCTACCGAGGTGCAAAGGTATTTGAAAACAATAGCCCCACCAAACGTGGGAGCCGGAGGGGGGGGAGGGAGGGCGGCTCCTCCCCGGGCTTCCTCTGGAGCCTTTTCAGGTCACAGTTCCACCACCGATGCCCTGAAGTCACTTTCCTCTTACAGTTACTTGGGGTCTCCCCTTCTGTTCCCCGGCTCATACCTTCAGGAACCCACGCCTCTGACTTTCTGAGCTGGTATGCCAGAGGAGCCAATTCCACAGTCCCTCTCATGATCTGTCCCCAGGTCTAACTGTCACACCAGTCTGACTTAAAACCAATCCTGCAGTTAAACCCCTTCCTCCTATGCTGTTCCCGGCCATGACAGCCAACAGCCCATCTCTCAACTGTCCTGTTCACTGGTGTCCCCACCTGTGACATGGGGATATTCGTATCTACTCTCAGGTCCTTCGTAGGATGAGCTCTAGCAAGCACTGAGCACACTGCAGGCATAGAGAAGGCACTCACAAAAGCCGCCTGGGTCTAGGTAGGTAGCACAATTCTTTTTTTGGGGGTGGGGGATAAAATGTATTTAGGAGGTTATACCAACAGATTTACTCAATATTGATACTACAATATAGATATTGAACTACACAAAATTAAATTCTATATGCAACTCATGGCTTTATATATATATATATATATATATATATATATATATATATATATATTTTTTTTTTTTTTTTGGCTGAGCCATCCTGCCACCTGTTGGCAGCTCAGCGGCAGCTCAGCTCAGGCTGGGACTTGAACCGCTGTTGCTCGGCGCTCGCACTCTTGAGTGAGCTCTTAACCAACTGAGACACGCATGGCTTTTAAATTAAATAAACTGACCCTCTTATAAGGCCACTGTGCTTCCCAAAGAAACACAACCATCCTTCCCCTCTTTTCCACGCTCTTCCTGTGGGAAAGAATATCTAGAAACTGAGTTTGGGCCTGGCTGCATCACTGCTTGGTGCTCAGTGGTAGGCCGTTTGCTCATCTTCATAAGGAGAGCGTCTGTCCAGCAACTTGCAGGGCTGTGGGAGGAGCTAATGAGACATGGACTCGAAAAATGTTGTGAAAAGCCAAAGTGCTTCAGGACTACGAGGGACTGACTATAAATTAGCTCTGCTCTGGTAGCCTGGAGTCTTTTCCCCGATTTGGAGTCTGTGTAGCTTACAAATGGAAAAGCGGACTTGAAGCTGGCCGTGGGGTCCCCGCGAATGAGAGGACAGCACGCACTCTGGGAAAACCAGCTGGGGCCTGATAGTGAGCTGAAGTGGTCTAGGGCTAGGGTCCTGGCCCCCTGGCCCGCCCCCTTCTCTGCCCTGGGAGTCCTGAGCAGGAAACCAGCCCCTTGCTGCCCCTCACCGAGATCTGCCATGCCTGCTGGTCGTCAGTGCATCCCCTTTGCTCTCCTCCCGATGGAGGAGGTGGCATGTTGGAAGAAGGGTCAGTTCTCCATGCCCTCCCCTCCTCACAGCAGCAATGTCCTTTCAGGACTGAAGGGAGACAGGATGGCCGAGAGAAAGAGAACCAAGGAGGGTGCTTAAGAAAGAAAAGTGAAAGCATAAGAAGAAAATGATAAAAAGCTGTTAGGAGGGATGGAAAAAGCAGAGTATGAGAAAAGGAGAAACGGATTTGTCCCACTCCCAAAAAATGGAAAAAGCACTATACTTGGAGTCAGACACCTATTTAGAATTCTGCCTCTGTCACTTATCAGCTTTGTGCCCTTGGATACGACATTAACTTTCCTGGGACTCAGCTTTGTCATCTAGAAAAGGGGTACAATTCTACCTACCTCAGAGGGTTGTCAAGTGGATGAAACGAGACACTGAGTGAAGGCAACAGTGACAGTATAATCTCAGGGAATACAGCAGGTGCTCAAAAACAAATAAGAATAAATTAAGTGACACTTCACACACACTAGAGCAGCTATAATTTTAAAAAGGAAAACAAGTGTTGGCGAGGACGTGGAAACATTAGAACTCCCTACTTCGTTGGTGGGACTGTAAAATGGTGCGGCCACTGTGTAAAACAGTTTGGTGGTTCCTCAAAAAGCTAAACACAGAGTTACCCAGTAACCCAGCCATTCCACTCCTAGGTGTACACCCAAAAGAACTGAAAATGGATATTCAAATAAATACTTGTCACATATATTCACAGCGGCACTATTCTCAGTAACCAGAGGGTGGACACAACTCAAATGTCCATTAATCAGTTGAATGGGTAAACGGAATTGGTCTATCTATCCAACGGAATAATTTGGCCACAAAAGGAACCATGTACTGACACATGCTATAACATGCGAACCTGGAGAACATTACACCAAGTGAAAGAAACCAGATACAAACAGTCATATATTCAATGACTCCACTTACATGAAATGCTCAGAATAGTTAAATCCACAGAGACAGAAGGCAGATGAGTGGTTACCAGAGGCTGGGGGAGGGAGAAGTGGGGAGTGACTGCTGACTGGGTATGGGTTTCCTTTGGGGGTGATGAGAATATTCTGGAACTAGGCAGAGGTGATGCTTGCACATCCCAGGTGCAGCAGGCCAGGGTCTTCCAACCTACAGGCCTGGGCCGCAGGTCCAACCAATGTCCTACTGTGGAGTGGGTCTGTGGGAGGGTAGCTGGGTCCTTCGTCTTACAATCACATTTTTAAGAGTGGAAGCTGTTTCTAACACTCCCAACCCCTGTCCTGGGGCTGGGTGACTGAAAAAGAAGAGCACTGCTTATCACTCGACTCCTGGTCACTAGCAGGCGAAACTCCCACTTGCCTGTAGCATGGCAGTGGGTGGGCTACAAAGGTGCCACTGCCCCTGTCACAGAGCCTCACATGCCCGGGCCCTCTGTCCATGCCCGGCCGCCAGCACCACACCTGGAGTTGTGGCCCCAGTACCACTGCCCCCTCACCCTACTCTCCTGCCTGAGAAGGGTTGGACACTCCATAGGTACTTGACCCCAGCATTAACCCCCATGCACAGGCTGGGCAAGTTCTAAGAAGAGGAGGCTGTGGAGGGAGAGCCATGCCTCTCCCATGACCCCCTCCCATGCCAGGCAATTAGGGAGGCCATGGCACGCTCCCTGGGCAGGGTGCCCACCAGCCAGGGCTTGGATCAAGGGCCTTGTTCTACACAGAGACTGAGCTCCAAGAAGCGCTGATGAATGTTCTGGAAGAGCCAGAGCTGCGACGTTCTGAAGTGCCTGGGGCCCAACTTTCCCTTTTCCTCTCCCTGCTCTGGTGAGACCCGCCCACAGCCCAGACACCTGGGAGCACCCCTCCGCATGGCCTGGTAGGGCCCTGGCCTCTCCTCCCTACCCCTTCCCAGCCATTCTAAGTAAAGCAGGATTAGGTGCTCAGCCAGATTACAGGAGCTCCCAGCCCTGGCTCCCTGGCCTCCGTGGGCCTCCCGCCAGGCCTTAGAGCTCATGTCCGAGTGTTAACCGGGCCCAGGCACCAGACAGCGGCACCTCCTCTGAATCCAAGCCCAACGGCCTGGATCCCTGAGGCTAGCAGCACACCGTAGACACTATCAGACAGGAAGCATCCAGGCTCACGGGAAACTCGGTCCTTGTGGGACGGGTAGGGTCCTTGCTACAGTGTGTGCTCCACACCTGTGCTCCCAGGTTCCCAAGAGACTGCAGAGGGCTCCTAGC